TGAGGTGACGTTCACTGCTACTGACAAGTACTCTACAGAAACGAATAACGAAGTTCTTGGAGTTAGTTTTCTAACTAACCTGAAAGAGTGGGAGTTACGGTGTTCATGTATGCAGATGATACAGCAATGATGTCAGTCTGCGTTTCACCCAAAAATTCTGATTTTTCAAATAACCGAGAAAACTAGCGGTCGTCAGAATTTGAAGTTACTTCTAGTTTTACGCCTTATTTTTTAGGTACAGTTATCGTAAAATAAAATTTGCCAATTTTTTTTTAGGAGGAAACCAAAGTGCGGTGAAACGATTAACATTAACAACTATTGTATTTCTCTTGCATTAGAAGTATTTGCAGTAAACTGTTTAAACTTTGTGTTGATAACCAGGTGAGATTTTTTCCGTTTACCAACAGGAAGTCAGCGTTTTTTTTCGTACACCCAAGACACTGCAACATCTCATGTGATTTCTCTACACAGATGTGTCGGTCATGACCGTTGGCTGTGAACCGAACCTCAGTTGGGTTTCTTCTTCACGCATCTTATTCTGGTTAAGAGGCAAATAACCTGTTTTGGGAATTTCGTTTTATGTGATTTTTTTTTTTTTTTTTTGACAGGAACTCAAAAGAGATTTCGTAGTTTTTAAGAAACGTGTGTTGCATTCATGTGTTCCTGAAGAGTTAAATGAAGGGTTGACTGCGGTGTGTGTGTGTGTTTTGGCGTGTTCACGTGTCCAGAGAGCAGCTTTTACCCGTGAGGGTCGTCTTTGTGCACGTCGGTGCGACAGTGTTTAACTATCGGAGTAATGAAGAGGATCTATTCCGTGGCAGATATTTTTCTTTTACTGATCACCGGTCGCTGTTTCTATCAAATCTTAAATCATCCGTCACTGTTTTTGATTGGTCCTTTTTGTATTTCATTCCTGATGGTGTTTCCTTTACTTTGTTATTCCATAATGATCTCATGCAGGTTTTTTGAAGTCTTGGTTTGACACTGTGTCCTGCAGCACATGTTTGAAGACTTAATTTAAAACAAATAAAGGGATGTATGTTATTAATCTTTTCAGTGTTTTTTTTACCTGTTTATTGCGTTTCCTCTTGTACTCCATTAATAAGTTTTAGAGTAAATGTAGATTTTTCACAGCAACTATGAATGTTTTTTCAGCCATTTTGGGCTGATCTGCTCATTTTATATATAAATTCAAATTTAACACTGATTTGCACTGATATTTTAAATTTATCTGTCACTTAAAATACAGTATAACGTTCACGTACGTATGTTTATTCTATTTTTTATATTCTATACTTATGTATAGAATGCTGTATTCTTAGGCTGTTTCTAGTTATAGCGATATTCCATAAGTTTCCACGTAGTCAGTTGGCGCCGAACGTCTTAAAACATGAACGAAAACCTGAAGAAATCGAGTTTCTTACTTCTGAAATCTTTAAAAATATATATCGTCATAATATTGATTTAATAACACATAATAACACAAAATGTTTCCGTAGACATTAACAGGCAGTTTAAGACTGTTTAGCTTGAGGCGGAACACTAGCGGGAGCGCTCGGAATTCAACAGGACTCTTTTGAGAGTTGCACCAACGTTTCCCTACGTTACACTTTAGCTCTACACCCTTCGTTCTGCTCCACTGTTGCTCCTTTTATCCGAATGTTGACAGTATAAGCAGCGTGTTTGTTTTTTTTTACTCAAGTACGGATGTGTCAAAGTCAGTTTGCTGAATAACGAGCTTTTCCCGGAGGTACGTAAGACTTTATTACGTCCGGATTAGACAGTTAACCTTTTCCATCCATTTCCTCTCTGCTTTTGTCACAGTAAATATTTTCCGTTAACCCAAACCGTATTGGGGTTAATTTAGCGTCATAATTGTTACATCGATATCCATAAATAACTTCTACTGTCTGTATTTCATCAACTTCTCCTTTCGACTCTGCTGCCTCCGAGGCTGTGTGTTTACGTTAGAGCTTTCGTCCAATCAGATTTCAGCATTCACTTGTTACCAGGGTAAAACAAATCTTCCCCCCAAGGAGTGTAGTTAAATTAAATTTTTGTGTTTTCTTTTACATTAACACTCGAAACACGATTTTAAAGTGATTAAAATTATTAATTGACACCGGTTTAAAAGTTCACCCCAGTGCTAATATTACACTATAGCAATAATATAAAGTACCACGCGAAAGTTAAGGTGGAAGTATGAGTTTACTGTATTTTATTCCGAGTTATTCCCAATTTTTCAACAATATTTTAAAGTTTTCCAACAATATTTTAAAGGTTTTCAACAATATTTTAAAGGTTTTCAACAATATTTTAACCACAGAAGGCACGTCTTTTTTTTTTATTTTTTTAAGGAAAATATCGCGACCAGGTTGCTTAACCTGCTTATCCAGGGGACATTTAATGTCGTCGAGAAGGAGCTGTTTCTCTATTTTGCTTTATTTGTTTAAATATGTAATTCAAATAGTATAGTATAGAGTGTGTAGTAAACCACATAAAACGATAGCAATGAATGTAAATCCATTGCATATGATTGTAGTAGTCAGTAAAGTGACATACAGTACACATGTAAAACAGAATAAAATGGTGTGTCATGACCATTATTATTGAATTGAAATACTTGACCACAGTTATTTATTTTTTACCATTAAAAAACATTACATTGTCACCTGCAACTTTATTATTCATTTGACCAGGAGGGATTGCTATTTGAAAAAAAAAAAAGTAATGTAAAATGTAAAAAAAAAGTAAAATCTATCTGTGTTTTGTTTTTTTCAACTTTTCTTTTTATCTCTCTGCTGCTGTGACCTGCATTTTCTCGGGTTGGAAGAATAAAGCCTTATCTAATGAAAAAGAGAAATCTTTTTTTTTTATTTCTCAGCCGTCTGGACATTGTTAATGAAACTAAATGTGTGTTTATGTGGCAGGAGGAGGACACGCAGAGATGGAATTTTGGACCGAGGAGGGAGACGCAAGACTTTTTTTTTTTCAAAAGTACACCAGTAAGTCCTCAAGTCAAATAAATTGGGAATAACATAGAGATTAATTATTCAAAAGGAAGGAAAATCTGGGATTGGACTGAACTTTGTGACTTTGCTGAGGACAAAGATGGATTTGACGTAAATGTACAGAGTTGTTTAAAAACATACTGGGAGAAAAATATAGTAGAAATGAATCGTTCAGAACTTCGTAAGTTACTTTTGGTCTCATATCCTCAAAACTTAAATTCACGTTTAAGTTTTTAAGCGGCATAACTTCATACAGCAGATTAACGACCTAAAATCCTAAATCTGCGACGATGCCCAAAATTACTCAGCTTGAGAGACAACGTATAATCTTGATGGACCAACAGAATGTTTCCCAAACAGCTATTAGTCAGAAACTTGGAATATCGCGATGTGGCGTACAGGCAATCATCAAGAAGTTCAAAGAAACGGGAAAACTGGAGGACAGGAAACGAAGCGGCCGACCGAAAAAACTGTCCAAGTCTGATGTGAAGTATCTCAAAGTATCTTTGTCAAGAAACGGAAAGAAATCCAACAAAGTCCTAGCGCAAGAGCTCAGAAATGCATCGGGCCCCTCGGTGCATCCGTCGACCGTTCGACGAAGCCTCATCAGAAATGGACTGAATGGAACAGTTGCGGCTGAAATGCCGTCGACTGAGGAGGGGGACGAGGAAGGAGTGGCTCAAACGTGCAACATCAAAGAAGAACCGGACCTCGGTTTGGACAAAAGTCATGGGGAATGACGATCGGTAGAGGAACTGTAGAACGTCCTTCAACATCTGCTTGGTAAAACCAACAGGAGGCTCTGTATTGATTTGGTGCTGCATTTCAGTAGTGGAGTATACCTCCCCCTATACAGTGACATGATGTAACAGCGTTTGTAAAGGACCATATCGACATTTTGACCGTATTCATGAACCCGCTGAAAGTGAAAAACGGACACGTAATCAGGGGGAAAAAAAAGGATGGGATATTAACAGCACTGGATTCGTTCCCAAAGACTGGACTTAAACTCTGCCAACGAACTCAACAGCTGTACAGAGAAAAGGAAATGATGTCACTGAGACTCTTTATTGGTTGTTTTTTATTTTGAATTTTATTCAAAATTAGGTGCTCCACAGTGACGTTAATAATGGTCTAATAAATCATTTTCAACTTGAACTTTAGTTCAAAATATTATTACATATTTTTACAAGGAAAAATTCTTACCCTAATAAAAAAAATTTAAATAAATATTAAATAAATAAAACCCCCCCCCCCCCAAAAAAAAAAATTCTTGCGACCCACCTGAGGGTCGCGACCCAGTCTTTGGGAAACAATGTTCATAAACAACACTTCAATTTTAAGGCGTATGAGGATTTTTGAATAAAAGTCTCTGTTAGCGATAACTCACCAATCCCCAATAAAACAGAGATACAATAGTATTAAACATTGTTTCCCAACCTTTTTTGAGCGATGGCACATATATATCATCAGGAAAAACCCCACGACACACCACCGACAAATATCTCACAAAAAATATATAATGAAATATAATAATCTTCTGGTTTAAATGACTTCATAATTGACTAGAAACAGTGATAAACTGGCAGGAATTGAAGAAAGACACTTCTTCAAGATCTTTTTAGTTTTGATAGCCGTCTTCTGCCACCTAGCGGAAGAGGATTGAATTGCTCTGCCGGTCACGCATTGACGAACAAAGAAAAAAAATATTTTGCGATAAATAAATAATAGTTTTGGGACCAATTAAGTGACGATGATCTCTCACGGCACACTAGTGGGCCACGGCACAGAGGTTGGGAATCACTGGTGTAGAAGATAGGCGTGTGGACTTAGCCTTTATATGTTCGCTGAAGTTCTTATCTCACGCTCCAGGCTGAGTTCTTGGATGTGGACTCACATTCATATGTACAGTACAAGCTAACAGTGGCTTTGGATGGAGAGTAATGTTCGCAAACCCGCATCTTTAACCTCCAATTATCCGCTTAGCCAAAGAGTAATGGCGCAGCGCTTGTTCCTTCCTCACCTCCGACTCTGAGATTTCAGCTCCCAAATCCGGAATAATTTGTCTGCATGTGTTTTCCTCGCGCTCCGCCTCTCACCTCTCGCTCTCACATGACTCCGCGGTAATGTAGCAGTATTTACTTCCACCGCCTCCACCTTGACCCGCATCACTATCTTTGGAATAAACTAGGCACATCTGTTCCTGCTCACCCTCCTCACCTCTCACCCCCTCCTTCCCCCCCCTGCCCCCACATCAGGATAATGTAGATGCATCTATTATTGCAGTAGTGCTGCTGTCGCCGTCCTGCTTTGAGAATAATGTAGCAGCACGTAGCGCCCTCACCCCGCCCTCTACCGCTCCTTATCGCAGCCTGGTTGTTGTAGGTGAAGGTTTTCTGTAGTCGCGTTGAAGTTTGTCCGGAGCGTCTTCACCGGCCGCTTCAACGTCCTCTAGCGGCGGTGGCGGCGGCAAATTCAGTGTAGGGTCTGAAACACGCACCCCAGCAACAACAGCAGCGGCAGATAACAGTGTTGTTGCAGTGTAACCCGGGGGCTTTTATTTATCATATCTCCAAATGTAGCTGTTGTGCCGTGGTCAGGATACAGTGACCTTAGTTGATCAACAGCCCCCCTAGGCCGCCTGATAAGAGGGCTAATATAACAGCGCGCAAGGAAGAGGCAGTACTGTAATTATTTCAGTGCTGTCAGAGGGAGGAGCGGGGCAGAAGGCTGCGCTCCCACCCCCCACCCCTCCTCCTCCAGCAGCACTGATTCAAATCTGAAGGGAAACTAAAAAAAAAGATGGCCAATACAACAACACCAGGGATGCCAGTGAGACACATATCAGCGACACCCCTGAAATTAAACCAGTTTGTCATGCACGGCTCTGACACACACACACACACACACACATCTTACAGCCCACACAGGGAGTAATCCTTCCTCGCAGTATCGTACGCGCAGGTATTTAGGATTCACGGAGCAAGGGACGGAATCGATGTTCAGCTGTTCAAAATTTACACCCGAACACAACGGGAATTAATGGTAAAAGTGTAAAAAAAAAAAAATCAGAGATGGAAACCAAAGTCGTTCATGCTCAGGAAAAACAGGCAAATCGTACGGTTTCGCAATTTTTTTACGTGTACAAATATGAGGTTCGATTCTTCAGGCGTACTTACAGGAGGAGGCAGTAAAGTTGCCGACGTCTGTCGTTACGATAGAAATCAAATGTCGGCAGCCTAACAACGTGCCTTTAGATGGGATTTCGCAAAAATATGTAAACCTGATCAAATCTGAATTAGGATTAGGATTAGGATCAGTTAGAGGAAGGGTAACCCACTCGTCACGCAGTAAAACCTAGTACCGAGTACTGTCCAAAAGTATTAGATGGATGCGTTCATTTACCAACTATTTGGAGATATCGATAATTATTAATTAATTTTTGGGATTATAATTAATTAAGACGTGTTTTTAGCTGGATATAGTATCTGCGATCAATTCCCGTCTGTTCTACTTCTTTGATTCTCTCCGATTTCCTCCAATATTTTCTCTTTACCCTGTGTTGTCCTCACCTTTGCCCTGACGCTTCTCTCGCCTCAGTTTCCACCGTCCTGTTGTCGTCGCCGCGTCTCGTCACGTTTTGTTCGCTCCAACCTCGACGCAAACGGTCTCTCAAAACCAGACGTAACGAAGCGCGCCTCCCCTTGTCACCGTTGGTAGATTTACGACGTACTCCGGTGGTTTTCGACAGAAACTCTTCAGAGCTGGATATAGTATCTGCGATCAATTCCCGTCTGTTCTACTTCTTTGATTCTCTCCGATTTCCTCCAATATTTTCTCTTTACCCTGTGTTGTCCTCACCTTTGCCCTGACGCTTCTCTCGCCTCAGTTTCCACCGTCCTGTTGTCGTCGCCGCGTCTCGTCACGTTTTGTTCGCTCCAACCTCGACGCAAACGGTCTCTCAAAACCAGACGTAACGAAGCGCGCCTCCCCTTGTCACCGTTGGTAGATTTACGACGTACTCCGGTGGTTTTCGACAGAAACTCTTCAGTCATGCCTGTGTGTGTGTGTGTGTGTGTGACCTTAGAAGAAACAAACCCTCGGTGTGACATTGCGATACGGGCTCCGAGTGTGTATAATTGTTAAGAAAGTAAAAGAGAAAAACAAAACAAAAAGTGCCAATTGTGGAGTTATTGTGAAGTTGGGATTATGTACGATCCTGTCGGCCTCCGTGATAGATGGCGCCATACCCAGCTTTCCTGATTTCGCAAATTTCTATGAAATGTGTCCCGAGTTCATGAAGAACAGATAAGAGGCCGGGAGAGGCTCGCTGCCCGCTAACAATTTATCAATTTCTTTCTCTTATCTGCTGATAAAGGTTCCCCATCTCTTCTCACTCCTCCTTCTTTACTTCCTTCTCCCTTCTCTCATTTCCTATCCTCGGTTTGTATCTGGTCACCTCCTAACTTCCATCCTCTGTTCCTTCGTCTGATTTCTGTTCCAGTCGTACTCGTACCTTCTACCTCCTCACGGGTCAGTTTTCTTCATCTACCGGTGCAGCTGCGCTTTAGTTTCACAGGTAAGAGTAGTCGCTGTCAACGGATTCCAGAGTGGTGGTGGACTTCGCTCGGATCGGAAGGTCGTCAGGTTCAAATCGGATCCGATGATTGGCGTTGTCATTGAGAAAAGTACGGTCCTGTCCACGGATACGTCGAACGTTGTTAACGACCGGGTTCTTTGTGGAAATAATTTTTAAATATCTTGCAGTTTGAATCTAGGATTTTTTATCGTCGCAGGGTGGAGTAGCGGTTAGCACATTCGATTGATAGCAATGAGGTCACCAGATCGAACCCTGGTGGTGATTGATGGCGATTCAAAGAAAGGTGGTGTCACGGTGATATTCTCAACGCTACAACAAACAATACAATACAGACGTTTACAGACACATACTGCACACTGGGACACACGGTGGCAGGTGTGGTTACTGCACTGCTAATCGGTTTTCCCCAAGAACTGGGTTTCCCACCCCCCCAACAACACGTAGAGTAGTGACCCGATTGATCAGACGCTATAAAGTGATAGAAACTAAGAAGAGTTTTTACAAGTTGTAAATATTTTATTCTTGTTAGCCGCGACCTAAAAATCCTACCACCCAAAAGATACTTCAGTAGTACTATATAAACAAAGTGCCTCAGATGAATCCTAGTATTTTGGCGTACTATTCTGCAGTGTCCAGTCACCGCTGACTCCTAGACCAGACTCTGAGACCGGACTCTGACGCCCCCCCGCCACCACCGACGCTTCCGGTAAAACTGCCGCTGCTGTTTGTCTGGCTGAGACACTAAATCTTCTTCCAGACACTTCAACCCCCCCCTTTTTTTTAAAGATCCCTGAAAACAACATTGATTGTTTCCCACAACGACTTCCTGTCACCGGGCTAATGATTATGCAGGTGCGCCACAACCTTTCCGTTTGACCCTCGGTTCCCATAGGGGCGGACGGTGACATGGCGGCTGTTGTCAGGCCGACAGGCGACCGACATGCTCCCCTATTTGCCCCCCCACCCCCGCCCAACCTCTGTCCTGCCCCATCCCCACACCCCCTCCCCTGACTCTTGTCCTTGTGGTCAGTCTGGCCTTTTCCTCGGTGATGAAGGAGAACGAGATTGTAACCCCCTGCCGCTGCCGTTAACATTAACGAGCATTAATGAAAAAGAAAACGTAATTGATAGTGTGTTTTGACACACACATGAATTTTTAAAAACGAAATAAAACTGTACGAAAAGACATTCAAATCACATAGTTTTGTTAAACTAAAATAAGTAGTGCGTTTTTGACTACAGTGAATCCTACGTCACGTAAACATTTTCGGAATAAAAAACAAACAATGGCCGATTTAACGTTTTACATCACGAGGTCGTCAACAAATAAAAATGAATTTTTAACGTCAGTAATGTGAAGTCTCAGGTTTTCTTTTTTTTTTTTTTGAAGCCCGTGTCACAGCTGTGCTTCCCTCCACCGACAGTTTTTTCCTGCGTGAGGATTGGCCGTCTGCCGTCTTGCTGACAGTGAACCTTCTTCATCATATTTTTCTCTTTTCTTTCGGCTCCTCCGCCTCCTCTTCTTCTCCGAATCATTTTTCCTTTCATACCAAGTTTTTTTTTCTTTCCCTTCCCTTCCCCTTCACCTCTCTCCCTTTGCTCTGCCGCTG